CAAAGGAAAGCTTTACAGGTAGAATTCTCATTTGCACAACCCCAGCGTGGAGTAAAGCTTGGTTTTCCTTAGTCCTGTGAAGAAAGGCTGAGATTTGTTACCGAGTGCTCAGGGAGGAATGTGCGATGGCCCTGCAAAACGTGTAGCTGGACACACACAGGCATATGGTGTTATATGTAAGCATCTACAGTATATGCACCTGCTTTTGTATTGCATGCAGGGATAAGTGTGCACACAGTTACTGCTGTGTATGTCCAACTGTACACATCTCTGCACATGTACTACCAGCTAACTATGTCAGTGTGCTGACATTGGACTTTCAAAAGCATGTGTGACTGCATTTGTGCATATAAGCCACCTTCTTGACTCTGTACATATACACAAGCATCCATGTGTGGGTTTGTGTACCTCTGGGTGTGAGACTGCTTGTACACATGCACCTCTGCACCCTATTATTCTGTTCTGAAACTTAGCATTCCATATGTAATGTGGAGCCCAAGGGAAGGCTTAGCAGATACTGAAGTATGTGGTGACCCTTGATTTCCAGTCCCTTTGGTAATTTCAAGACTTTTCCCCATTGTGTGAACCTGAAGACACAGAATTAGTTCCCCCCTTTTGGTCACAAAACGGCTCACGGGTGCTTTTCTGAAAATACACAATATCTGTAAGTTTATTTCTCAGTTTGGTATCAGGAAGGGGTGGGGGTAGTTCAGGCATGGGCTTTTCCCTCAGATATATATTCCCATAGGCGGTCCAGGGGCAGAGAGTCTTTAGTCCTTCACCAGCCGGTAGATGTGATGCTGAGCACCGTGATCACTAGTGGAGACCTCAAAAACGTACGCTATGCACAGCAGAGTCTCCTGAGTGTCCCTGTTCGTCACGACCTAGGCAGAAGAGGAGAAGCAGCTGAGAGAACAGTTTCTGTCTCAGTTTTCAACATTTCGACACTTTCAGAAAAGTACATCTGAACACGATCTAGAGGAGGAATGAAGAACTGCTGGAAAGATATTCCACAGCTTAGTTATCAAAACTGGGGAGGTGCCGCCTTACTGTTTTGTGGGATACCAATGCAGTGAAAGAAATAAGGAGCAGAGTACCCAGCACTACAGAGAACAGAAATGTCTCCCTTGCGCACTAGCTGTGAACAAGCACTGTCCATACCAAGAGGGTCTGGGAGAGCAGGGAGTAGTCCTGTCTCCATGGAACCAGTAGGGACCATTGCTCCCACATTTGAGGAGGGGAGTGACAGTTCAAAAGCACAGAATCCTGATCAAGAGAAATTGCTGAATTGGCCTTTCTGGCTTTCTGTAACCTCCGTATCAGAGCCAACTCATCTCATAACCTGTCCAGCATGGTTGCATGGAAAAAGCCCTGCTGCCATGGACTGCTCTAGCCAAAGAGGAACAGATTCACTCCTGCAATGGACTGCTCTAGCCAAAGAGGAACAGATTGTAGTCTCCTCTGTCTATTCAGGATGCATAGCCACTAGCTTTTGTCTGGTTCTGTTTTCTTCTCTCACCTTGTGGTTGGTTTCTGCAGCAGAGCTAACCTTTCCCTTCTCTCTGGGTGCAGAGGTGGGAACTGCCCAGCTCTAGGAGATAGACACCCCACAGGTTCCTTCCCTGGGGCTCAGGGAATTGGCCCTCTGAGGCTATCATTCTGCTTCAGTTCAAGTTCAGTGGTGATGCATAAGGCAACGGATGCATTATGTGATGCTAAATTTGAGTACGAGGCAAAGTTAGAGGGGGTCTAAGCTGGTGAAATAAACACGAGCGCTAGGAGAATTTACTTCGATTCATATTTTGGTCTTGGCAGCCAAAGGTTATGACCTTGGAACTTCAAGGGATCCTCCATGAGAGAAAGCCAGGAGGATGGAAAATTCTCAGCCTGTAACCCAGGGCATCCTATAGAGATGTGAATGGGACCTGAATGAAGTACAGCTCTGTGAGATGGGAGGGCAAGGAAGCAGCTCAGATATCTTGGTATGGAAAGCCCCACTAGAAGCATTACAGTGAGATTTATTTATTTATTTATTTATTTATTTATTTATTTTTGTCTTCAATTTACAGTGGCCTGGGCCTGACTAGGGAATGAAGTTACCATCATGCATCTGTATGAATGATGGCATATGGACCTTGTCTCTCTTACTGCTGCCCCACCTCATTCCTCTGTTCATCTATAACATTCCCTGACATTTATACAGCCCCTTTCCTCCAAATTTGTTCCAAATCTGAGTGAATAAAGCCTGGCAATGGCCAGCAAGGTAGAGGAGTACCACTAACCATGTTTTATAGCTTAGAGAACAAAGCTACAGAACAGCCAGGACTGATCTAAGCTAAAGGTGATTTACATCAGCAGTTTCAATCACCTTGCAGAAAGCCTCCATTTCAATCAACTTTTCATTTGTAGTTCACTTATTTTCTAAAGAAAGCTGCCTTCTCATTGGTCGGTGCAAATGTTCAATCACATAGATTTATAGCTAAACAGAGCCTTTATAACAGGTTTGCTACCTCTTGTTTTGACCAAAGAGAGTACGCTATAATTACGTACATCTCTTTAAGCACTTCTAGAGCTTCATGTTTCAATTTTTTTTATTTCACTGCTTTTGATATGTTAAAAATATTGCTTGTTTACTATACCAGTGGAGCTCAAACTTTTAAGGCAGTAGGCTGGGTGCCTGAGATTCCCCCCCACTTCTTTGGCCCCTGGAGGGGAGCAAGGAGAGAGATGGGAGGGAAGTGGCTGCCAATCTCAGAGGGAGGGGAGGGAGAGAGGAAGAGGACTTACCCCTGGTAAGCAGCACCTGCCATAGGGGAGCAAGGAGGGAGAAAGGGAGAGAGAGAATAAGCAGCCCCTGCTGTAAGGGAGGGGAGAAGGAGAGAGCAGAGAAGGGATCAGTGGCAGGACAAGGATCACTGACAAGCAGGGAAGGGAAGGGGATGCATCAGGATGAGGTGTTTGCTGCTGATCCCCTGTGCTGGATCCAGTCACTCTGGTTTATATGCTGTAGGCTGAGCACCACTGTACTAGATAATTAACTTTCAGCAGACTTGTCGGGCTAAGGGGTCAGGGTAGCAGATTGGCCCCTCTGTCCCCCTCAGGAGGGAGTCTCCCACAACAACACCTTACTTTTTGTCTTGGGGAGAGCAGGGGCGGGAACTGCAGTTAGGCCCTAGACAGATTAAGGCACTAGACACATATTTGGAAGGTATGGGCCATATGCTTCCTTTGTGACCCACTGCAAGATAATCTCTGTTCCAATTCCCCACACATAAAATACCTTTTGTCCATACTTTGTTTTTCTTATCTGTTTAGGCTCTGCATTCTTTTGGACAGGAAATGCTTCTTTTGTGTCAAGTGGCTGCCCCAGGATAGAAACCAGAATTTAATCCTGAGCAGACACATACATGCCTCTTGTAGAGGCAGAGGCCAGGTACCAGCACCTGTAATGACTTTGCTTGTCTCTCTTCCCAGTAACATAGCCACTGGGTCCCCCATAAGCCTGAGCCTGTAACACAGTACATGATCTACTGTGTCATATTGATAAAGCCAGACTTCTCAAGTTAGATGCTTTCCCCCCTGCTTCTTATCATAGAAATTAAGGGCTTGAAGGAACCTTGAAAGATCACTGAGTCCAACTCCCCTGCTCTAGGCAGGAATACTGCTGAGATCAAATGATCCTAGCAAGGTGTCTGTCCAGTCTCCTCTTGAAGACTTCCAAGGTTGGGGACTGCACCACCTCCTTGGGAAGTCTAGTCCAGATTCTGGTCACCCTTACCATAAAGAAGCTCTTTCTTACTTCCACCCTGAAACAATCCTCTAACTGTTTATGGCCATTGCTCCTTGCCCTCCCCTGGGCTGCCCTAGTGAACAGTTTTGCTCCCAGCTCCTGATATTCACCCCTTACATACTTCTAGACGGTCACCAAGTCCCCCCTCAGTCTGCTTTTCCCCTGGCTGAACAATCCCTGATCACTAAGTCTTTCCTCATAAGGTTTGTCCTCCAGGCTCTTAGTTATTCTTGTGGCCCTTTTCTAGACCCTTTCAAGATTCTCCGCATCTTTTTTTGAGTGCGGTGCCCAGAACTGGACACAGTACTCCAGCTGGGGTCTTACCAACGCCGAGTAGAGAGGAAGTATCACTTCCTTAGCCCTGTTTGCAATGCATCAGCTAATGCAACCCAGTATGCTATTAGTTCTGTTGACTACAGTGTCGCACTGGCGGCTCATGTTCATCCTGTGATCAGCCATAACCCCAAGGTCCCTTTCAGTCATTGTGCTGGCCAGGACATCTCCTCCTAACCTATATTCATGTTGCAGGTTGCTTCTCCCCAGATGAAGCACTCTACATTTTTCCTTATTGAACTGCCTCTGGTTCTGCTCTGCCCACCTTTCCAGCTTGTCCAGGTATGCTTGGATTTGCATCCTATTCCTTAGCGTGACTGCTTTTCCCCATAACTTAGTATTGTCTGCAAACTTGGCCAGCATGCTTTCCACATCCTCATCTAAATCATTGATAAAGATGTTGAAAATGTCTTTATCTAGATTTGAACTTACAGGTCATGTGCTACTTGTTGACAGAGGCTCACAGATTCAGCATATTTACTTAAAAAGCTTTAAAGGGGCTATAAGCAATTCACCCCTTTAACATATTTTTGTATTAAATTCAGATTTCATTTGAGAAAAAAAGCTTGTTATAATTTAACTAACTAACTAGTCCTATTTAATACAAAACATCCAATTTCTCTGCAGAAAAAAAGTCCTGGCTGTTTATATCAGCCTTGCCATCAAGTAGAGAAACAACTTGCATAGGGTCTCCAAGGCCAAGTAGACCTCCTGATTCCTAGTTGTGCGCTTTAGCCACAACACCCTCTGTTATAAGGCTAACACTGGATTCCCTAGGCCCTTTGTAGAGGTGCAGCACACATGCACAGCTTGGGTGGAGGCAGTCAATGATGACTTTAAGCCATCTTTGCACTCTCCCAATCTAGGGGGGCCCCAGGGGCTGGAAAAGTTCCCAGTGTAATGTAGACAGCCCTGAAAGCATAAGTAACAGCAGCCTCAAGGTTTGCCCTGTGGGGTGTAGAGCTTCATAGAATCTCAGCAGTGCTGTGTGTCACAATCCACCCCTTCTGCTCCATGCCCCACCTATACCTGTGCTGAAGGAACTATCCTTTAGCCGCAACAAAGATTTAGGTCCCCTTCATAATGCTCTGCTTTCTTCATCAACATGAATAAAGGTCAATAATAGAAGAATTACCCCCTTGCATTTTCCAATCACTTTACTACCATTGAGCTCCTTCTACCTGCCATAAAGAAGCCACTGAAGAGTGAGGATCCTCAACCTGACTCATGTTGGCACAAGCATGTTTTTCACTACAGCTTTGCCTTCTCCTTAGGCATAATGTATCTTCATGTCTGCCTCATCAACCTCCTTCCAAGCCATCTCTCCTTCCCCCTCTTTCCCCGGCCTCTCCAAATATGCAGCCACAGCTACCACTTCCATTTCATGGACAGCTCTGCAAAAGGCTCTGAGATGCAATTTTCACATACAGCACTAAAGGCCCTGCTACACTTCCAAATTAAAACTGGATAAAAACCAGCTATAGAATTGTTACATGTTTTTAAGCATTAACTTTGTAGCTAGTTGGCTCTTATGGTGCTATAAATACTGTGCATGTTGGGCTGGTCTAAATTTATTGTGCAAGTAACCAGTTAATAGGGGTGTGCTGATAAAGATTTTCTTGGCCAATACCAATAGCTGATTATTAATCAGCCATATTGGCATACAGATCTGATAGCTGATTTACAGAAATGCAGCCTGGCAGCTTGGAGAGCAGCACCCTGCAGGTAAGTCTGTGGAGGGGGGAAGTGCATGGGGGAAGGAAGGGGCATGTGGGAGGCAGATTGAGATCCCCATGGTGAGGGAAGGAGTGGGGCTAGGGCAGGCCCAGCCAGGACAGTGAATGGGACCCCAGGGCCAGGAGCAGGATGAAGCCATGGGCAGCTTGTCCAGGGGGTGCAGGGAGGTGGGGCAGCTCCCTGTCACTGTGCACACCCCCGGGGAAGGCATGGGGGCATGTGCCCCTCTGGAATTTATGCACAGGGTGGTGAGCTGCCCACTGGGCTCAGGCCCAGGAGCAGCACCAGCCTCTTCCTGGTGGGGGGGAAGGGGGGGGCTGAGCAGGAGGAGGGCAGGTTCAGCTGCTGTTCGGCAGGCAGGGGATGTGCAGCCAGCGCGGGGCTCCTGAGGGAAAGGCAGAAGAGCAGAGCCCTGGGCTGGAGCAGCACTAGGAAGTAGCTCAGGGGGCTACAGCCACTCCAAAATTCACCCTAGTCCCCCTGTAGCCACCCCTCCCAGTGCCACTGCTGCTGTCTGCCCCACTTCTGCCAACTCTGAGCCCACAGTGGGCAGCCTGCCTCCACCTTGTGCACATATCTGGGGGACACATACCCCCTATGCCTCCCCCAGGAGTGTGCACAGCAGCAGGGAACCACCCTTCCTCCCCTGTGCCCCCTAGACAAGGTGCCCATGGCTCCTTCTTGATCCCAGCCTCAGGGTCCCATTCACTGCCCTGACTGGGCAGCACCTGCCCCTGCCCCACTCCCTCTCTCACTGTGGGGACATAGATCTGTCCCCTGCACATTCCTTCTCTCCCCCATGCCCCTTCCCCCACAACAGGCTTACCTTCAGGGCACTGCTCTCCGAGCTGCTGGGCTGCATTCCTGGCTGTGTGCGTGCATGCAGCTGCACGCATGCAAATAGCATTTATCGGTGCCATTATTGGCTACACCACCAAAAAAAAAAAGTCAATACCTCATAATTTTTATTTTCCTTTTTATAGGTACTGATCTGATATGTGACCAATATATTGGTGCACCTATATTAGTTAATTGTGTGATATAAGTACTTTGCACTTGCAGCTGGTCTTCCTTTCCACATGTGCCTGGTCTAAATTTATTGTGCAATTAACTAGTTAACTGTGTAATATATGTAATATGTAGCAGGAGCCTAAATGATACTAACTCTGGGGTGGTATGTGGACATCTTTGTCTCATCCATGGCTTAAACATTTCAGGGATCTGTAATGGGGCTCCTACCCCATTACTGAAGAGGAAAGAGTCAAGGTTGCAACCAGCTGGCTCCAGGTCCTGGGAGGGACTAGCAGGGATGGAGAGCCCTTTAAGATGGTTGCTTGCCCCAGATGCAGACAGTGTATTCAGGCCGTGACTCAGACCTGGGGCAGAAGTGGTGGATCAGGTGACCGAGAGAGGGGTGCAGGTTTTGGGAGAGGGGACTGCAGGCTTCCTAAGGCCAGGACCACAGCTGTGAAGAGGGGCTGAGTCTGACCTGCCAGAGCAGAGGAACGTGTGGGGGTGTGTGGGTGGGAAAGAGAGAGAGAAAATGGGATTTGGTCTGTATGGCCAGACCCCGTGAAGGCTGAGACGAAGCCTCAGCAGTACCAGACATTAAAGTCACGTTCCTTTTGTTATATGCTTAAATCATCATCCCTGTGGTGACAGACCCAGGCTGGGGGCAAATTTTGGATTTGACAGCAGTCAGCTTACACCTGAGTTAAGTTTAAATTGGAGGACAGAGTAGTTGTGAGGGGAGCTTGGAGGCTGCAGGTAGTGCCTAAGGGTGCATTGCTATCATTGCTGGAGAACCTGAGTCTGCACAAATAGACTGTGGGTATGGGCCCAGGCTCCAGAAGGGGGGGAAGCAGAAGGAGGGCCCCAAAGATTGAGGACACAAGCCCAGAGCCTGCAAGGACAAGGCTGGAGCCTAGGGTCCTGGAACAGTGGACCACGGGTGGAAGAACCTTAGTCACAGTTAAGTGGGCCAAGGCCAGGGGTCTAAAGCTCAGACAAGAATCTAAGACAGGGGTGGGCAATTATTTTGGCTGAAGGGCCGTTTTAATGAGTTTTTTGGCGAGCTGTGGAGGGCCAAAGTGCCCTGTCCCCTGGTCACAATCTTGGGACCTAACATTTTGCCCCCAACCCCTAGTTGTTGCCACCGGAAGTCCCTCCCCTCACCCCAGAAGTGCTCCATTTGGGAAGGGGGTTTCCCATCTTGGAACTGGAAAAAAAAACAAATTATATACTAAAACTCAAACATCCACAATAACACATTTTAATTTTATTTAAAAACATATTTTTGTCCTGATTTGTGTGTATTTGTGTGGTGTATGTAGAGGTGGTTGTGTAATAGCTCAAAATGAAGTCTTACTCTTGTATATTGTGGGGGTGTGAGTAGGTGTGGGGGCTAAGTGGGGTATGGAGTTTGTCTTTGCTGCTGTCACTGCCACTGCTAGGCTGCCCCGTAAGGCAGTGGTGGCAGCGCAGAGGAGCCGCAGGGCAGCCCAGCATGGGCTCTGGGCAGGTGCAACAGGGAGCACTGGGCAGAGTTGAGGGGGAAGGGCTGCTTTTCCCTTCTGCACTGAGCAAGAGTTTCTGCCCAGACAGTGCTGCTGCTGTTTAGCATGAGCAGGCGAGTCCAGAGCAGGCCTGGGGCATGCTGGGTTGGGGCTGTGGCATGGGTCCCCACTGGTACCATGGGGCTGGGCCAGCGGCAATGGCAGATGGAAGAAGCTGCAGCCACCTGGTCTGCCTAGAAAGGCAGTCCAGCCACAGAGCCGCCCTAGCCCTGCTGCATGACCTGGGGGCAGCAGGATGTGCCACAGCCAGAGTGTGACTGGACCAAGCGGGACCGAGGGACCCACCACAGGCCACATAAAGCCCCTCTGGCAGGCCAGATCAGTCCCATGGGCTGTATTTGGCCACTCCTGAAGTAAATCCCTTGACCTTTAGGGGCAGCCTCCCAGTGCAACTAAAACATCAAAGCATAATAGGTGAAGTGGTAGGGTGGACCCCCTCAGGGGTCCAAATGGGCAAGAGAAGGGGAGGATCCAGGCAGCTACTAGGGGGGTTGAAAAGATGCAGCCCCTCCCCCTCTGGGCTTCAACGTGCTACAGCACCAGTAAACAGCAATTCAGTGGCCCACCTGTAAAATAGTGAAGTTCTCCAGCACGCTGTTCATCATGTATTTCTCTGGAAGATGTTTGAGTTTGTGGATGAAATTAATCATGTACTCGCAGAGCGGGGAGCGGTGGATGCGATAGGAATAGTGTCCATTCTCATAGCGGGCATACTCCGTCTGCAGGGTAAAACAGAAGAGATGCTTGAAAGATTACAATTCTTCATTAACATGACTAATCATTAGTAACAGCAGAGTTGCCCATTTGCATTTTCCAGTCGCTTTACTGCCACTGAGCTCGTGAATCATTTTAAAAAATAATCCACTCTGGGAAGTTCTAGAAGAGTTTCTTTAATGTCCCCAGCTGTAATTATTTAGTGAGAGTGTGAAAAGTCTCTCTACACTAGTAGTAACCAAAGTTTGCTGTGTAACAGCACCTGTCATCTGAGGGCTTCAAGGTGCTTTCCAAGTAATAACTAACTATGCCTCCCCACACCTTTGTGAAAAGAGGCCAATATCACTGTCTCCATTTTACAGGTGGGAAAACTGAAGCACTTACCACTTGAGTGACTTTCCTGATATGACACAAGGAAATAATGGTATATCTGGGAATATGCACCTCACATCCCAGCCCAATCCTTGCCTCTCCCACACCTCACTGTTGCATGCTGCTCTGTAAGTATGGAACTTTTGGGGTACTATCTCTTTATTTTCACACGTTAACCTGTACACATTTAGACACCCCCCCCCGCCTTGCTGAAGCACCAGGGGATTTTTGTCACTTTCCCTTTTGAGTCCCAGGAGGCTTCTAGCCACTTCAAGCCCATGAACAGTGAAATCGCCCTCAGCCACAGGGACCTGCTTTGTCCTTCAGCTAACATTTAAAGCAGAATTATGGGGGAAAAGCAGCTCTTACCACACCTTTAAAAAGACATATTGTTCCCCTTCTCTGAGCTTGCTGTTCTGTGGGAGTAGTAGGGATGGAAGTTCCTGTCTAAACACACTGCTGAATGTATGGCACTATCTGGCAGGTCACATTCAAAAGGTTTGTCTTCAATAAACCCCAGGAATAAAGATTTCGTAGACATTAGGGCTGGAGGGGACCTTGCAAGATCATCAGGTCCAGCCCCCTGCCCAAGGGGCAGGAAGTCAGCTGGGGGTCAGATCACCCCAGCAAGATAAGCATGCAAGTGTTTCTTAAAAGGTATCCAGAGTAGTTGCTTGCACCACTTCTGGGGGGAGTCTATTCCAGACTCTGGAGACTCAGACAGTAAAGAAGTTTTTCTTTATATCCAGTCTAAAACGATCTTCCAGCAGTTTGTGACCATTAGACCTCGTCTTCCCTTGGGGTGCCCAGGTGAACAGACATTCTCCCAGTTCCTGAGACACACCCCGTATATACTTATAGGCTGCCACCAAGTCACCCCTGAACCTTCGCTTCTCCAGCACAAAAACAATGTTGTGCTCTCTGCTGTTCAAAACTGCCTTGGAGGTCACCTAAGCATAAAGCAGACTTAGTGCTTCTAGATCTGTGCAGTTAAAACCTCCCAAGTCAGGCCACTGTCACAGTTTATGGGCCTAAAAATCATGTGTTTAGAGGAGGAGAATAGTAGTATGCTTGAGAATCTTCCCATTTACCTCATGGTTTCTGAGCCTGGATAGGTTGGAGTATGTCAGGTTTTCTCTGCACCAATGAGAACTAGAAACTTATAAAACACCAAGAGCTAAGGTCCACATCATCACATGGCCCCAAGAGCTGGCGTTTTAAGTGGAATAGCAACTACTGCAAAGACCTGCAATGAATTCATGTGAGATCACTGTGCTGTGGGCTGGATCAGGCCCATCCTTGGGCATCTGATACCACAGCACTAGACCACTGTTTCCTGACTGTCAAAACTCTTCCTTTCCATCACCTTGATGAAGGTCAGTGGCTACAGCCTGCCATCAGATTCATGCAAGTGGGATTTGTGAGAAGCTGAGCAGTAGGCAGAACGTGACCCCAGAGTGCTCTGCATTCAGTTCTCAGCTGCTTCTGGCACCTACCTCCACTTTCTCCACCACCTGCTTTCCGAAGGAGCACACTTTAGTGGAGCAGGTAATGATCATATTTTCTGGGCTCTCATATTGGCTGGAAACACCATAGAAAGATCTGGATTCATCTTCAATGTTGGTGTTCAAATCAGCCTGCAGCCAAAACAATAATAATAATAAGATTAGAACAGTAGACTATTAACACACAGAACATTTCTTTCGGAGCCTGAGCAGCAACCACCAGAGGGGTGTTCTTGAACCCATGCGTTTGGGGTAGTAGAGTGGGTAAGTAGCTGAAGTGAAGGCTATATAGGGAGAAAATGTTAGTTTAGCATATAAACCTGAAAGAGGTCACTTTGGGGCTGGGGTTTGCGTGTGCACCTGGTAGATAAGGCTTTATAAAGGTATGATGAAGCTGTTTGCTGCTTTATCTGATAGGGGGAGTCTGCATTGAAGGGGGAGTGCCTGGGGTGAACAGGAAGGCCTTTCTGTTAGCTACACAGCTGCCTGCCAGGGTGGGTTGCCTCAGTGAGGAGGAAGGTCAGGGGTTTAAGACTCATAATAAAGCATTCTGCTGGGGAGGACAGGGA